TAGACTTTTAACGAAAAAATCTACCGGTCCTTTCTTGCCGTTGGCAATTTAAGGTTTTTTCTGTTTTTCTTAGCACCAAGCCTTCAATTTTGACTATTTAAACTATCATTCGATGCAGAATAAAATTGCGCGTCAAATGGTACCAAAATTAACTCAAAATGTAATATCCACGCAAAGCTGTTCGCTAAAAACCTAAACATCGCCCATTATGGGCGGAACTTAACCTTTTGTCTCATAACTTTGCGTGGCTATTATATTTTGAATTAATTTTGGTATCATTCGACGCGCAATTCTATTTTGCATCGAATGATAGTCAAAAACGAAAGGTTGGTGCTGAGAAAAACACCAAAAACCTTAAATTGCCAACGGCAAAAAAGGACCGACAGATGTTTTCTTTACAAGTTTACTTATTGAAATCTCAGATTCGTAAAGATTTGTGTACATACAAGCAAAATAGAAGTTTTGATACACTGATAAGTTATCTAACAATCAAATTTCTTATTACAGAATCGCGACCAACGTGAGTCCGAGTATACGGAGGACAACGAGCTCTGCTCATCAATACAACACTTTCGATCGTTACCAATGAATCCGTTCAATCAACGTTTGTTCGTTCGTTTAAGAAGAGAATCTTATTCAAGAATTAATTCAGAAATGAGGATGGTATTTCGAATAAATACACCGATGAGCTGTATGAATACACTCCGAGGCCAAACTGCACCGCCGGTGATCGAGATTGTGGAAGCCGGTAGAGGAGAAGAGCTTTCAATTTTCAGTCAACATTCGAATTCTATTAGCTCTTCAATCGAATTCTGTCTGTATTTATACCAATCTTTACAAATTTACGAAGACAAAAATTGAAAATGTTGGATCACTTGATCAGATTGAAGTCTATAACGAAAAGAGAAAACTACTGTTAGCTTTTTTTTACAGCTTTCTATTTTGTGACGTCTCACACGGAGCACCACGTTGTGCAGCAAAAGTCCGAGTTGGTGGCAGTGTGAGTAAAGTGTTAAATTCTAAAAATAAAGATATGAATTTTTGGAAAATACATTTTTTTCTTCTACTTTTTGTCGAAACTCTCCAAATCCGACACTCTAGGGATAATTTAGTGCCAAGGCTTTGTACGAGATGAAGATGCTTGTTACAATGGTATCTGCTATGAAAACGTGTGCCGACCCAAGGTTTACTTTTATCTCTACTCAAATAATCACTCGTAGGCTACGACTACAACCACTACAGTTGTAACTCCTGTGATCGTCGTTCGCCCACCAGTGCAAAATGTACCTAAATCGAACCAAATCTGTATCTAAATTGAACCAAATCGTACCTAAATCGAACCAAATCTGTACCTAAATCGAACCAAATCTGTACCTAAGTCGAACCAAATCGTACCTAAATGGAACCAAATCTGTACCTAAATCGAACCAAATCTGTACCTAGATGGAACCAAATCGTACCTAAATCGAACCAAATCTGTACTTAGATGGAACCAAATCTGTAGCTAATGGAACCAAATCTGTACCTAAATGGATCCAAATCTGTATCTAAATGGAAAGGAATTCAAGCACTGATGCATTGAGCGGAACCCTAATTTCCATAAAAATTCCATAATTTACATAGCATGTTATTTTTTGACAGTCAAAGAAAAAAAAAACAATATATTTATTATTCCTATTTTTAGCTTCAAAGACAAAAATTTTGTTGTCTTCATCTCTCAAAAAGTATTTTCAAAGGAACTTGAAATACAGATTTCGGATTTATGCAAATTTATGGTTACGCCAGATGTATAAGTACCGGAATTCGTTCTCTCAGCAAAAAACATTTCATTGATAGGATTGCTGGAACGAGAATCAATGCTGTCAACAATGGGCAAACCGTGGCGAGTGCACGAAAAATCCGGGTTATATGCGAACTTATTGCAAAGCTTCGTGCAATGTCTGCCGTCCGAATCCGCCCATTCAAGACGGTTTGTTACAAAAAAGATAACTGACAAACAGAAAACAAACGCAAAACTATTTTAAGATTGTTCGGACCGGCATCGAACGTGTGCATCGTGGTCTCGCTCGGGAGAGTGCACGAAAAATCCGAATTGGATGAAAGAGGTTCTCCTCAAGAGAATCGCATTTCTTACTAGAGCAATGCTCAAAAAAATAAAGCAAAGCAGTGAATTTGATAGGGAAGGATTTGGCTACATTTTGTTTTAGTTTTAGCACAACATACTTGCTTGAGTTGAACTCTAAATCACGATCGAACTTGTTTTTAGAATCAATTAACTTAATCCATTGGTTTTTTTAATTAATTCTATCATTTTTTCCTTAAAAGTTTATTCTAAAAAAATCTTCTAAATTTTCTCTAACTTTCCTTCAGAATGCATTTACATATGATTTTGTGTAAAGAGCATATACATACGTGTTTGTTCTCGCGAATTTAGGTTCTGTTTAGCTTAAATTTCACTCAAAAAGTCAATATGTCTCACACTACTTTGCTAGAATGTTTCAACTTGTAAAAATCTCTTTCCAAGCTTTTTTTCAGAACTGCCGCCGTAGCTGCGATTATTGCCAACAGACACGAGCACAGGCTTGCAAAAGTGGACACAGTAAGTCAATGAGTTGGAACTAGGGCAGATCAAAAACTCGTGCGCCGTCGGGACTCGAATCCACGACCTTTCGCTTACCGGGGAAATGTGCTAACCATCACACCACAACGCACCTGATCTCCTTTACTTCAGAGGGAGTTAAGTCTAGTTAGTAAAGATTTCAATAAACTCACTTTTTTCGCAGTCAACATCGTAAGACTCGAACTTATGTTCGATTCAATTCAACCTCTTAACAATCACTTTTCCAGCCACAACATCTACTCAAGCTCCCACGAAAGAACAGTGTGGGAACTCGCCCGGTTGTTTCAATGAATATGCCTGCTGTCCGCTTTGGGCTGTTCAAGTAATTTGATAATTTGTGGATCTGGGAGGGGGAGCTCAGAAAAAATTTAGCTAGGGGGAATCTCTTCCGTTCATTTTCCACTTGATCTTACTTGATTTTGTTTTTTACTTTTAGCTTGCACTTTTTCATTTTGAACTTCATTCTTTCATTTCCTACAGTTTGCGTTCACATTTTCTGCCTTCAGTGTTGTTTATTGTAATCGATTTAACAAGTTTATTCAAGCATTTACAAATATGGAACGAATCCTTTGGGAGTACCGGCAGGCCAGAAATTTTTGATGTCTTCGAGAATGGCGAAAACTGGACGATCAGCCCGGTTCATTTTCTAGATTCCCTCAGTGATGTAGCTCTCAAGCATTGTTCGATGAGTTCCGTGGTGGCGACAGTTTGCATCTTTGAATAGGCGCCACATCATCTCAATATGTTGTGTTGAAATCTAAATCACGTTTCTTGAATATTTTTTATTTTACAATAAACACAAGCCTATTGGTTGGATGTGAGCTTTTTTATGAAAGATGAAAGCCCAAAACCACCTTAAAAACAAAACTCCAGGTCGCGTATGTGTTAAATCGCAGCATGTAGCCTTTTCTGGTTTCACAAAATCGATTTTCAGGGGCAATGCCGTAACAGTTCGAGCTTCATGACGTGCAATTGTCGAGTCTCTTGTCTACTGTGCATTCCATCAGAATATCCATATGGAGGTGATTAGAGGATAGCAAGGGAAAAATTATTTTCTTGAACAATGTGTGCAATTAGAAAACAGGTAAAAGAAGCACACAGTTGAATTAATTGATTAGAACTTAACGTGATGTTTTGCTAACCGGCCATATTTATCTAACTACACTCATCGTCAGACAGTTCGAATTCTTTTGTGTATAACCCGATCCTTTTCAGAATGTGTCGATTATCACAAAGATTGTCGTGTTTGGGCAAAAAGGGGCGAGTGCCGACGAAACTCGTGGATGGAAGAGAACTGTCGATCGAGCTGTCATACGTGTTTTGTGATGCAGGAGCTCCGATCGAAGTGCGAAGTTGTGGGCAGCACTAGGTATTTGTCATGTTGAATATCTGAAACGGATGTGTGTACTAGGCAAATCCATAAGGGTCAAAGCTCTAAGAGTTTATTCAAAACTGTAACCTAAACCTTTTGAAGTACATCTATTTTGAGTTTCTCATAAAGTAATGCTAGTTTGATGCTTGAATTTAGTTCCTAATTCCTTTTATCGTAAAAACTCTTAAGATTAATTGGCACGATTCGTCAAGAAGCTCAAACATGACTTCAAAGTGATAAGAGAAAAAGATGCAACTTAATTTTGAGATTTTATTCTTCAAAGGTATTCTTTTCTATCTTCTATCATTTTCTTTCGATTCTTTTTTATTATATTTCTTTTTTCTATTCTTTTCAGTCTTTTTCAATGCTTTTTTTTACTTTCAAACGAGATTCGCGATATTTTGTGTTGCTAGAATGAATAGCCTCGAAAAGTTAAATAAAAATCTCATATTTTGAAAGTTTAATAGCAATCACTACATTTTTTCAAAAATCTCCAATTCAAGAAAAACAGAAAGCAACAAATAAGTGACCAGAAGAAGAAAATGCAAATGTTGACAACTTGGAGAAAGCGATCATTTTGGATGACATGATACAGAATATGGGGGATACAGGAAATCATATGGATCAATAAATAGACAATGAAGAGCACGAGACATTTGGATTTCTTAAAATAGATTCCACACAGTCCAACAACACAAAAAACAGGGTATGTAAGAAAAACAGCGACCCCGGTAATCGTGTGGATCTCCTCGAGAATCCCATGTGTCATAGTGGATTTCCACGAGCTGAAAGTATAGATATTTGTCGGAATTTTAAGCGTAACATTTGTCACAAACATTTGACATAATTTTATGAATACAATTATGAATTATATGTTTTATTTTGTTCTCTTTTGTAGCTTATTAGTACCGAACTCCTTTCCTTTTTCCCTTGCAAGTTTTTCTCCCGTTATGACTCTTCAAATTCAAATTATATTGGAGAAAAATGGACAAAAATGAGAACTAATCACATCTAAATCCAATTTTTGCCAAAAATATCAAACAAACCCTCCATTGCCGTTCATGTAAACGAGGGGCCCAAAGAGCGCCAAAGACGACAAGAAAAAGTGACGAGAAAAACGCGGAGATTGTCTGAAATGAGTTGATTTACATCCAGCATTTCCCTCTTTTCCCAACCTTTATTGTATTTCGATGTTTTGTCCAAAAAGCCGATTTGTCTACCTGAATTTTCACTGAAAGGACAAAATAAGGACATAACAAGAATTATTTGAGCTGAAACTTGACCCATTTTGAAAGGCCATCGAGTAGAGTCACAATATTTAGATAAACTCTAAACTTACACAGGAGTGTTCGGCTTGAATCTCTCCAAAATCGATCGCTTGTGGTTCGGGACTGGTTTGAGTCGCTTTTAAATGTCGCTGATCATGAAACTCTTCCGTGTCCAAAGTGAACAACGAACTGTCGTTGATGGATGGACAAACTGAAATTCTATGGAATTATCATTGAAAATTGGGCATAAATCTTGAGTAATTACAAGTTATTTGACGCATTTAGACTTATGTTTGGCTTGGTATGTGTTTAAATGTGATCAAATATCGTAACTTTAATCAAACTTCTTCCAACTCGGAAGCAACAAATTCAACAAGAAACGAGAAAAGCTTTAAAATGACCGCTTAAATAAGCAACAAATGAACATCTAGATAACGAGTGGATACGAAAATGGCAGGGTTTAGGGAATGACAACGAGTTGTCCTTTGTCCTATTGTCATATTGGGTCGGAGCTGGGACTCAAAAATGTCCGCCGCCGGGGACTCAAACCCACGATCTTTCGCATATCGTTGTCACTTCAATGGCTTTGGTATGTTTGACTGCGACTGCTCTACCACATAGCAACAGTGCAACTGATCCCACCAGGAAATTATGCCTTACTAACGATGGGTAGTCAACATGCTTCTTTAAAGCAAATTATCATTTACCTATTTCCGATGCCGATCTGCCGAAGTATTCACTCATTGGATATCATCCAGAAAAAAAAACGATTAGTTTAAAATTAACTTTGCAAGCACACAAAGCTCACTTTAGCGAAATGAAATTTTGAAGTTGAAGTACTTGTTTTTCGAAATGAAATCTTGAAGAAATGTTCCTGTTTTTTGAACGAATTGTTTGTGATCCTTAGAGGCGGTTGTTTTCAAAAAAAGACATTTTTCTTTTGAAATTAAATACTGATAAATGTTTCTGCTAAACATTTTTGTGTGCATTGGCTCATTTTGGGCGCTGTTTATAGGACTGATTGTCAGACTCTGTTTGTATGTATTTCCTTGTGACGTCTGTTTATCTCTCTTGTTGAAGGCTTTTGATTTCATCATTCCCCATTTAAAAACTGATAAAAATGTGTAGACTGGTGTCACTTATCGGGGTAAATTTTACGTAGAACCCCTTCCAAACATGGTCTGTTAGTTGCAAAAAAGATAATTGTGTAGCTACCCCATTTTTTAAAGAGACATTTTTGACGATAAATCGTTGGTTTTTTGCCAGAATCCTGCAAAAATCCTAATCTCTGACCAAAATCTACCCTAGAAAGTTGATTTTTTAGCAAAAAACACTGTGTCAGAGTCCAAAACTTAAAACGTGGCAGAGTACATGGCCTGATATTGAAAAACCTTCAAAATTGTGTCTAGCTTTATCTAGAAAAACGCGTGTTTAATTGTGTCTAGCTTTGTTGAAATTGATCTATTCTTAGACTCAAAAAATGAGGGTTGAACATTTTTTTTTGTGAGATTTGTCCTGAAAGGGGTCCCTATGTGTAGCTCAAAACGAAATCCGTTTTCATTTGAACAATTTGCGAATTTTGAAAGCTTCTTGTTGTTCTGTTGAAGAGATGTTGTTATTGTGTTCACGGGAGAAACTTTTTACCCAAAAATCTTTCAAAAGAAGAGCCAGGAGGTTTTCCTCTTGACTAGGCAAAGTTTCGTTTACTTTGAACTTGGCTTTTATTTTGAAAAACTCCTAAACAGAATAAAACGAGTTAGAAATAAAACTTGGTCTTAAACAATGAAATTTTGAGCTTGCAATAAAAAACATTTCATGAATCGATTCTCATCGATTGTACTATTGTACTCAATCATCTTCTCCAATATTTTTTTTTCTTTTAAGTTTGAGTTCTAATTTTTCCACAATTTCTAGAAGTTTACTAAGATTACTACGATATTTGGGGATAAATCTTTAAAATTCTTTCCTATTTCTCTTAAAAATTTTGTTTAGAATTCAGATGACTAGGAAAAGAAAGTCATCTTCAGGAAAGAGATTGACATCTCAAAATTCTTGTCGATTTCAACCTATAAACCAACTAAGGACAAAATCCACTGGTTTTCCAGTGGCTTTTAACTTGTAAAGTAACTAAGGACAAAATCCACCGGTTTTTCAGTGGATTTCACCTTATAAAGCAACTTTCGGTTCGGGCAAACATCCACTAGGAGAAATTATCATTTACAGTTGGCTAAGGTTATCCGATAAGCTTTTCTTGTTATGCTAATATTTATTGTCGGTTCTTTTACATTTTAATTTGTATGCACATCCTTTAGTCATCGTCTCTCCCATTGGTACATTCATCCACATTTGTGCAATATCGCGGACCCTTCCCTTCGGGATTCGACCAGCAGCAAACTTTTTCCTGCGGGCAAAATTGCTCCTCTCCGCGACATTTCCGCGGAAAACCTTTCTAAATTATCTTTTCACTCTTCATTTACCAATACAATTCGTATTTATCATTTGAAGAACTCAAAAAACATACCAAAGCCATTGAAGTGACAACAAAGGAAATCAAAAAGAGTAAGAAAAAGAGTTTCATCGTTTTTTTGACAAAGTGTTTGTCTATTTTCAGTTTATTTATAGGGGAAAATGATTCAAACTTCTGTTTTTAGGAAAAAGACCTCATGGGACTCCATAGTACCATTTAACTAATATTATTTGACAAAGCTTACTCATAGTTTTGTCTAGAAGCGAGAAAACGTTCAACAAAAATAGTTGACAAGTCCTTTTTCATGACATTCAACCGAAAAAAATAGATTGACGACGCTTTCATCATCTCAAAAGCACTTTGAGGTTTTTTAAACGTGTCATGCAAGTCTTTGTTGTTTACAAAAGCTTGAAGGCATCACGGTCATTGCACCCTACTTTTATAAGCTAGCACATTTATATTTATAAGCTTTTATAAGCTAACAGATTTGCGACAGAGCCATTTTTAGCTATCTAGTGAAAAATTAAAGAAATGCAAATTTCCAAACTAATCGGTAGATTCAAATGCTTCAAACAGTGTTTGGGCCATGCTTGCTTTTCAACTGAATATTGCTCTTTCCCATTCCCAATCTTATAATTAAAATTGCTTATAATGACCAGCTCAAATCGAAGAGTTTCATCGTTTTTGACTGCTCGACTTTAAAAAAATCAACTAACGCGAGTTTTATAAGAATTTGTAAATAAATTTGCAATCGTAGGGCAATTTGTAAATAAATAGGAGAAAACAAATCATAGATCAATTGGTTTATTATTCATTTTTAAAAAGTAACCTTTAAAAAGCAGACAAGACTTTCCGATCAACCTGGTAAAATTTCTATTTCGATTAAGCCAACAATAGTTTTGCTTTTGCAACGTATCAAAATTTTATTCATTTTGAACAAGTGCAAAGAGAGAAAAGAAACATGATCAGCGTGCACAAAAACGACTGTAAATCACCCAAAAAAGCTTCTATCATAAAATGAAAAGAGTCATAACTAGAGTGTGTACATCCCTCGAGTAATGCCCACTTTCTAAAAGGTACCTATTTAACGAATATAAGCAACCAATCAATTTTGACCAATCACTTCAATTTTGGTGTCATTGCCTGAGCATTGAAATTTCTCATTGATTGATACGAACGTTGAGCTGATTGAGTCAAAACTGACTGATTACGACAGTTGCGTAAAATAGGTACCTTTCAGAAAGTGCATTACTCGGAATGTACACACGCTATTCATAACACACAGATGACTTGCTATGAGAAAAATAAAATGTAACGCTTCCATCAACATTCTAATATGTGTCAACAACAACAAACACCATCGAATGATGTGGCTTCAAAAGCACGATTTCGTATCAAACCCTGGTAATCCATGACGAATTTTTCATATTTTACTCGATTTTTTTTCTTGGTGAAAGACCTGAAATTTTAAGATTATTAATCGGGTCTTATCTTTTGCGTTTAGCATATTTACGATAGTTTTCTTTTTTTCATTTTCTCCTTGTAAACTGTTCTTCGCTCACCTGAAATTTTGCTTTTTGTCTGTCGAGAAAGTGATCGAGGATGACACGATGAATGTAGAGATATTGCTGAAGATCCACTTTGGTTTTTTTATGAAAAAACTCGATGTAATCAGAGTTTTTTAGCTGATTCAGTCATTAAATAAATGGAATGAGCGCTGTTCATGCTTGAATTCTTATTAAGAAATCCTCAAAAGTTAGATGATTGGGTTAATCGAAACCTATACACCAATTAACGTTTTGCTTTTAGATAAGTCAGATTTTAATTTAACAATAGACCAAAAAAATGAAAAAACAGCTTGAAATTGAAACCTCGCAAGATTTTTGAAAACTTAGAAACACTATCATCTAACCCAACTAACCAAATCGAAGAGAATCGACCATAGCCGGTATGATCGAAGTTGTTTCATTAGATCGCACATTGTAGGGATTCCTCTTTTTAGGTTGCTGCATTCAAGTAAATATCTAAAAGTGGAATGATGAATTAATGCGTTGATTTAATACTTTCACTCACTCGATAGCCACCAAAATCGACGTTCTTCCCGTCCCACCACCACAATGCATCACGATCGGTTTTTGTGAACCGCGAATTTGGGAAAGTAGTTCCTGAATCACTCAAAAATTATGCAGATTAAGTAGATAAAGTGCTTTTTAGGCTTTTTTAGCAATCAATCATCAATAAATACCTTAAAATCACAACAAGCCATTTTGAAAAAAACAGAATAGCTTTCTTACCGTAGAAACTCGACTTCCATAACGAGACAGATCAGAAAATCGCGCAACTCTAGGCACTTGATCTAGCCTCCAGCGTATCGGATTCCAATAAACTTATGTTTATTTAAAAACCAAGATTTTAAGCTATCTAATGATATTGATCAGTAATGTTTTTCTTTCAAAAAAGTGAGTCAAAAACCTTAATGAGACTTAACGAGACAATTCCTCGTTATCCGTTATGTCTCAATAAGGTTTTTGATATATCGCTTGATTTAAGATATCATTAGATAGCTTAAAATCTTCGCTTTTTAATAAAAAAGTTAATTGGAATCCGATACTCCGGGGCTAGATCAAGCGCCGGGAGTTGCGGGTCCAAAAATAAAAATTGCTTTAATTTACCACGCATGTTATCAACAAAGTTATTTAATTGGTTAAAAACTCACGATTGGAGTCCGCAAACAGCTCGGGACTTCCCCTTCTCGCCAACCTTCCCACATAAAGTGTCGGATCTGAAAGAAATCTTTTAACTAAATACCGAAAAATACCATTCGTTACTCCTTTTTTCCATCGTTGTTATACATCATTTTAAAGGTCGCAACTTTTAGCCATGACATTTCGTCGATTATTTGATGATGAGCCTGAAGAGTTAGTCAATGCATCAAGCTAATCTTGAACTAACCTCAACATTTGTGACTTCAAGCTTGTCAGTGATCCTCATTGTCCTGTTTTTATTTCTTGGAAAATACTAAAATGATAAGTTTGAAGTTCCGATCACGCCCAAAACCTGAGCACATTTTGTGTAACCCTCGTTATCGACGAAATCACATAACATGACGATTGTATCAGATTCTTCTTGAAGCATCATCAACCTTAACCCACTTGCCACAAGGTTTTTCAAATTTTTTCTTGGCTCTTTGATCTTTAAACAAGTCTACAAAAGTTCACAGCAAACCAATTCACAGATAAATGATCCTTGCGTATTTCCCTTTCCTTTGATACCAAAT